CGGAACCATGGAACTGTTGGGATGGAAGGTCCTTAAAGGTCACGGAACCATGGAACTGTTGGGATGGAAGGGTCTGGAAAGGTCACGGAACCATGGAATGGCTGGGGTGGAAGGGTCCTTAAAGGTCACAGAACCATGGAATGGTTGGTTTGGAAGGGTCTTAAAGGCCACAGAACCATGGGACTGTTGGGATGGAAGGTTCTTAAAGGTCATGGAACCATGGAATGGCTGGGATGGAAGGGTCCTTAGAGGTCACAGAACCATGGATTGTCTGGAGTGAGGGGTCCTTAAAGGTCACAGATGCATGGAATGGTTTGTTGGAAGGGTCCTTGAAGTTCAGAGAACCACTGAATTAATGAATTGGAAGGGTCCTTAAAGATCACAGAACCATGGAATGGTTGGGGTGGAAGAGTCCTGAAAGGTCATCGAGCCATGGGATGGTTTGGATTGGAAGGGAAGTTGACAGTTGTACAGCCAAATTTTTGGTTGGGATAGAAGTGTCCTTAAGTTTTACAGAACTGTGGGATGCTTGGGTTGGAAGGGCCTTTAAAGATGACAGAGCTATGGAAGATTTTGTTTGGAAAGGTCCTGAAAGGTCATAGTAGCATGGAGTGGTTGGGTTTGGTTGTCTTGGAAGGGTCCTTAAGGGTCACAGAACCACAGCATGGTTTGGTTGGAAGGGTCCTTAAAGTTCACAGAACCACAGAATGGGCTGTGTTGGAAGGGTCTGGAAAGGTCACAGAACCCTGCAATGATTGGGTTGGAAGGGTCCTTAAAGATCACAGAGCCTGGGAATTATTGGGTTAGAAGAGTCCTTAACAGTCTGAGAACCACAAGACAGTTGGGTTGGAAGAGTCCTGAAAGGTAATAGAGACATGGGATGGATTGGGTTGGAAGGTCCTTGAAGATTGTAGAACTGCAGAATGGGTTGGGTTGGAAGAGTCCTTAAAGATCACAGGGCTGGGGAATGATTGGGATGGAAGAGTCCTGCCCGAAAGGTCACAGGGACATGAACTGGGTTGGGTTGGAAGGGTCCTGAAGGATCATAGAACCATGGGATGGGTTGGGTTGGAAGGGTCCTTGAAGATTGTAGAACTACAAGGTGATTGGTTTGGAAGGGTCCTTAAAGGTTCTATAGAACCTGGAAATGGATTGTGTTGGGGTGGAGCTTAAAGATCATATAGCCAGGGAATGGTTGGGTTAGAAAGGTCCTTAACGGTCACAGAACCACAGGGTGGTTGGGGTGAAGAGTCCTTCAAGATCACAGAGCCAGACAGTAGTTGGATTGGAAGAGTACAGAAAAGAGATATGAGATGGATTGGGTTGGAAGAGTGCTTGAAGACTGTGGGACCACAGAATGGCTGGGTTGTAAGGGTCCTGGAAGGTCATAGAGCCATGGGATCAGTAGGATTGGAAGGGTCCTGAAAGGTCATAGAGACATGGAATGGTTGGGTTGGAAGGGTTCCTAAATATCATAGAGCCATGGGTTGGATTGAAAGAGTCCTTAAAGATCATAGATCCTAAGGAGGGGGGGTTGGGAGGGTCCTAAAAGGTCATAGAGCCATGGGATGATTGGGTTGGAAGGGTCTGAAAGGTCATAGAACCATGGGATGGTTGGGGTGGAAGGGTCCTTTAAGGTCAGAGAACCATTGGGATTGTTGGGATGGAAGGGTCTGGAAATACACAGAATCATGATATGATTGGGTTGGAAGAGTCCTGAAAGGTCATGGGCCCATGGCATCATTAGATTGGAAGGGTCCTAAAAGGCCATAGAGCCACAGGATAATTGGGTTGGAAGGGTCCTGAAAGGTCATAGAGCCATGAGATGATTGAGTTGGAAGGTTCCCAGAAGGTCATAGAGCCATGGGATGATTGTGTTGGAAGAGTCCTGAAAGGTCATGAAGACATGGAATGATTAGCTTGGAAGGGTCCTAAAAGGTCATAGAGCCATAGGATGATTAGCTTGGAAGGGTCCTAAAAGGTCATAGGACTACGGGATGATTGTGTTGGAAGTGTCCTAAAAGGTCATGGAGCCATGGGATGATTAGGTTGGAAGGGCCCTAAAAGGTCATAGCACCACAGGATGATTGGTTGGAAGGGTCCTGAAAGATCATAGAACCACAGAAGGTGCCGTGCAGAAGGGCTCCATGGGACGGCGCACTTGGGCTCCGCGTGCCGATGCCTGGTGTTGTGGGAGGACGGCGCTGCTCTGTGCCCAGCCCGGTGCAGCTCGGCTCCGTCACGGCGCCGTCACGCGGTCGTTTGTCCCGCAGCCAACAGGCAGATGGACGTTGGTGAGATCAGCCACCACCTGGACACCATGCAGATCGGTGACATTTTCAGCCACCAGACGGCGTCCGCCGCCACTTCTCTGCCCTCACCGGTGCCGGTAGGTGCCACCACGTCCCCCTCATCCCCAGGGTGCACCCCGGTGATGGCCGCTGCCGGTGATGCATCGCTTCTCCCGGCCCCGCTCCACGTCTCCTCTCCCCCTCCTCCATCCGTCTCTGTACTCCGCAGGCGGGTTGGTCGTGTCCCAAGTGCACCTTCATCAACAAACCCACGCGGCCGGGCTGTGAGATGTGCAGCACCGACCGCCCGCCCGACTACGTGATCCCCGGCGGCTACGAACCGGATGAGACGGAGCTGTGGAGGATGCAGCAGGAGCAGGAGGGGATGCTGCAGTACCAGCAGGTAACGGCCAGCGCCGTGGAGTCCTCAGCATGGGGGACTCGGGGGGGGGAGCAGGTCCTGTACTGTGCTGGAAGTGGGCTGGGAATCATGGAAATGTGTGGTGAGTTGGGTTGGAAGGGTCCTTGAAGGTGGTAGAGCCATGGGATGGTTGGGTTGGAAAGGTCCTCAAAAGTCATAGAGCCATGGGATGGTTGGGTTGGAAAGGTCCTTGAATGTCGTGGAGACATGGGATGGTTGGGTTGGAAGGGTCCTTGAAGGTAGTAGGGCCAGTGGATGGTTGGGTTGGAAGGGTCCTCAAAGGTCATAGAGCCAGGGGTTGAGTTGTGTTGGCGAGGTTCTTAAAGATCATAGAACCATGGAATGAGTTGGGTTGGAACGATCCACAAAGATCATAGAGCCGGGGAACGGTTGCACTGGAAGGGTCCTTAAAGGTCATAGAGCCACGTGATGGACCTTATAGATCATAGGATGGGTGGGTGGTTGGAATGGTCCTTGAAGATCATAGAGCCATGGGGTGGTTTGGAAGGGTCCTCAAAGGTCATAGGGCCATGGAATGGTTGGGCTGGAAGGGTCTTCAAAGATCACAGAGCCACGGTATGGACCTTACAGATCACAGAATCTTGGGATGGTTGGATTGGAAGGTCCTTAAAGATCATAGACCCATAGTTGTGGAATAGTTGGACTGGAAGGGTCTTTAAAGGTCATAAAGCCATGGGATGGCCCTTATAGATCATAGATTGATGTGGTGGTTGGGTTGGAAGTGTTGTTATAGATCGTGGAACCATGGAATGGTTGAGTTGGAAGGGTCCTTAAAGATCATAGACCTGTGGGATGGACCTTATAGATCATAGATTGATGGGATGGTTGGGTTGGAAGGGTCCTAGAAGATCAGAGAGCTGTGGAATGGACCTTATTTACCATAGATTGATGGGATGGTTAGGTTGGAAGTGTTCTTATAGATAATGGAGACGTGGGTTGGACCTTTTAGATCATGGAACCATGGAATGGATCACAGAGCCGTGGGATGACCCTTATAGATCATAGAATGATTGGATGGTTGGGTTGAAGGGTCCTTACAGATCATAGAGAACAGAATGATTGGGTTGATCATGGTCCCTCAAGCTCATAGAGCCGAGGCAGGGTTGGATTGGAGGGTCCTTGAAGATCGTAGAGTCACGGAATGGATCTTCGAGATCACAGAACCACCGAATGGTTGTGTTGGAAGGGAGCTCCCCACCCCAGCCCTACTGTGGGGCACCCACAGCTTTGGGCACAGTACCGGGGCCGCAGCGCCTCTGGGTGAAGGATTCCCCCACATCTGCCCCCAGTCTCCCCTCTGTTGGGTTCCCACCATTCCCCCGCGTCCCTTCGCTCTGTGCCCGTGCAGTCGCTCTCCTCCCATCACCAGATCCCTTTGGAATTCTCCCGGAATCTTCCCCTCCCCGCTCTGACCCCCAGCTCTCATCCTGACCCCATAGCAGAAGGAAGCCGGCACCCACCCCAGTGCGGCAGGGGGGCTCTTGCAGCCCCCACCCCCTTCTCCCCTACACCCCGAGCTCACTGATGTGCTGCTGCGGTGGCTCTGGGGATGCTCCCTGCCTCCCCCGGTGCCATCCTTTGGGTCCTGACCCACGTCAGCGTGATGGCACACAGGATGGTGATTCCACGGCCGCGTGCTTCCGTCGCCGCTCCTCTCGTGCGTAGGGACGGTTGGCCGTGCTGGGAGCTCTGCAACATCTGTGGGGCTCCAACAGAGCCCCCACCCCACACGGGGATGCGCTGTGGGGCCGGACCGCCTCCGGCTCAGCCACTGACCGAACCTTCTCTTCTTTCTCTTTTTTCTCCCTCGTGCCGGGATCCCGCTTGGAAAAGGGAAGGATTGAGGATGGCTCAGCTGCGCACTGCGTCTTGGGCTCGGGTTCCCTGGATGACTTCATCCACGTGTCCTACGAGTTCTGCTAACCGACCCGGACGCCCCGTCCCATCCCGTCCCCGCCGGCCTGGGCCCCGTGCCCGCCGCCCGGCCCCACGCGCTCAGCGGCTCCGTGCCCGCTGGCCGCCCCTCGGCTCCGATGCGGCCCCACGAGGGGGGCTGGGCTCCCCGGGAGGCCGGGGGGAGCAACGCGAGGGTCTCGGCCCCACATCGGCCGCGGCGCGGGCAGGACTGTAGGTGCAGACTGAGCTGCTTGCACACGGAGCATTGGTGCGCCGTTGGAGGGCAGGATTGCTGCTGTTTCCTTCCCGATTTTCTTCCCTCCCAGCAGCCCCACACTCAGGAACCCCCTGGGGGTGGGCACTGAGCCCCCTTGTGGGCAGTGAGGGTTTGAGGTGAGCGTGGTTGTCCCTGTGCTGCTCGTGCCACCGTCCCCTATATGAGAGCTTTGGGAAAGACGCAGTGGTGATGGGGGGCAGCGGCTCCGGGTCCCTGCGCCACTGGGGGGCTGGGGGGGTCCATCCCTGCTCTGTGGGGCTGCAGTGAGGGGCTGCACCGGGCGGCTGCAGTGGGGTGGACTCTGAGCGCTGCGTTGCCACGTGTTGGGTTGTCCCATGGCTCTTTGCGTTGGGCTTTCCTCTTTGTGTTGGGTTGTCCCATGGCTCTTTGCGTTGGGTTTTCCTCTTTGTGTTGGGTTGTCCCATGGCTCTTTGCGTTGGGCTTTCCCATTCCTCTTCGTGTTGGGTTGTCCCACTGATCCTTGTGTTGGGTTTTCTCACTGCTCTTTGTGTTTGGTTGTGCCATCGACCCACGTTGGGTTCTGGGCGCTCTTCACATTGGGTTTTCTCATTGCTCTTCATCTTTGATGGTACAGATTGCAATTTGTGTTGGGTTCTCCCATTGCTCCCTGTGGGGTTGTCCTATTGCCCCATGTGGGGTTGTCCCAATGCCCTGTGTTGGTTGTCCCATTGTCCCATGTTTGTTGTCCCATTGCTATATTGTGGGGTTGTCCCATTGCTCCATGTAGGGTTGTCCCATTGCCCCATGTGGGGTTGTCCCATTTCTCTTCACGTTGGGTTGTCCCATTGCCCAATATTGGTTGTCCCATTGCCCCATGTGGGGCTGTCCCATTTCTTTTCACTTTGGGTTGTCCCATTGCCCCATGTTGGTTGTCCCATTGCCCCATGTGAGGTTGTCCCATTGCCCCATATTGCTTGTCCCATTGGTCTACGTGGGGTTGTCCCATTTCTCTTCACTTTGTGTTGCCCCATTGCTCCACGTTGGATTGTCCCATCGCCCCATGTTGGTTGTCCCATTGCCCCATGTAGGGTTGTCCCATTGCTCCTTGTGGGGTTGTCCATTTCTCTTCACGTTGGATTGTCCCAATGCCCCATGTTGGGTTGTCCCAATGCCCCATGTTGGTGGTCCCATTGCCTCCTGTTGGGTTGTCCCATTGCCTCTTGTTGGGTTTCTCCCATTGCTCCCTGTGGGGCTGTCCCATTGCCTCCTGTGGGGTTGTCCCATTGCTCCCTGTGGGGTTGTCCCATTGCTCCCTGTGGGGCTGTCCCATTGCTCAGTCTGGGTGGTCACGTTGCTCTTCACGTTGGCTTCATCCCATCACTCCCCTCATTGGGTGGCAGACGACACTCTTCACGCTCAGACTTTTTGGTGTGGGGAGGACGGGGGGCTTGGGGTGGTGCCAGACCCCTCCTCAAATTAAAGTCTTCTCCCACGAATGCGGCTGTGCAGCTTCTCTGTGCCACCTTTGGGTCGCTGTTGGATTGGGGAACGGTGGGGGGATGGGGGGAGGGGGGATGTTGCTCTTTGGGATGGGTTTTCATAAAGTGAAACCAAATAAAGCCAAGGGAGGGGGAGGTTGTGGGGACATCTCACCCAACAGAGGGCAGATTGGGGTCACATGTGGGGAAATCCTTCACCCAGAGGCGGTGCAGCCCCAGCACTGCTGCCCGGAGCTGTGGGTGCCCCATCCCTGGAGGTGCCCGAGGCTGTGGGTGGGTTTGGGGATCCCTTCCAACACAACTATGTTGTGGTTCTGTGACCTGTAAGGACCTTTCCAACTCAACCCATTCTGTGACTCTAACGATCTTTAAGGTCCTGTCCAACCCAAGCCATTCTGTGGTTCTATGATCTTGAAGGACCCTTCCATCCCAACCATCCCATAGCTCTGTGATCTTTAAGGACCTTCCCAAGCCAACCCAGTCACCTCACAGCTCTATGATTTTTTGGCCAACAGTTCACTCTTCCAACCCAGCCCAACCCAACTCAACCCAACCTGACCATCCCACGGCTCTATGATCTTTCATGACCCTGCCAACCCACCTGACCCAATGCTGTGTGATCTTTAAGGACCCTTCCAACCCAACCCAACCCAACCCAACAATCCCATGGCTCTATGATCTTCCATGACCCTGCCAACCCAATCATTCTGGGGTTTGATGGACCCTTGTTTCCGGACCCTTCCAACTCAACCATCCCATGGTTCTGTGATCTGGAAGATCTTAGTGCAGCTCTGAGGTCACTCTCCCCCAGTGCTCCTCCCCCCACTGTTTCTCCCCCAATGTTCCTCCCCACACCGTTTGTCCCCCCCCCATTTCTCCCCCCATCAGACGCTGGAGGCGGAACGGCTGCAGAACTTCCAACAGCTCCTGCAGTTGGAGCAGGAGGTGTTGGTGCCCAACCAGGAGGGGATGGAATGCCGAATCTGCTACCAACACGTCCCCCCGGGGCAGGGGGTGCTGCTGCGGGAATGCCTGCACAACTTCTGCCGGTACGGCGCATCGGAGGTGGGGGGGGGAGCCCGACCCCGAGCCCCCACCCCCGTGGTGACGGAGCCTTTCCCGCAGGGACTGCCTGCGCCAGGTGATCAACTACAGCGAGGAGCCGGCGGTGTCGTGTCCATACCGCGATGATTCCTACGCCTGCAGCAGCCACCTCCAGGAGCGCGAGATCCGCGCGGTCAGTGCCCACCCTGCGGCCCCTGGGGAGAGGGAGGGGCTGCTTGGCCAACAGTTCGCCAATGGATGACCAACGATCAGCCAACAGTTGACCAATGGTTGATCAGTGGTTGGCCACTGGTTCACCAATGCATGACCAACAGTTGGCCAACAGTTGACCAGTGGTTCACCAATGGTTGGCCATTGGTTCACCAATGGATGACCAACAGTTGGCCAACAGTTGACCAATGGTTGACCAGTGGTTGGCCACTGGTTCACCAATGGATGACCAACGGTTGGCCAACAGTTGACCAATGGTTGACCAGTGGTTCACCAATGGTTGGCCACTGGTTCACCAATGGATAACCAAGAGTTTGCCAACAGTTGACCAGTGGTTCATCAGTGGTTGACCTACAGTTGGCCAACACTTGACCAGTGGTTGACCAATGGATGACCAACAGTTGGCCATGAGTTGACCAATGGTTCAACAGTGGTTCATCAGTGGTTGACCTATGGTTGACCAGTGGTTCACCAATGGTTGGCCACTGGTTGACCAATGGATGACCAACAGTTGGCCAACAGTTGACCAGTGGTTCATCAGTGGCTGACCTACAGTTGGCCAACAGTTGGCCAATGGTTCAACAGTGGAAAAATTATGGTTGACCAACAGTTGGCCAACAGTTGACCAATGGTTGACCAATGGATCATGGTTGACTACTGGTTGACCAATGGCTCATGGTTTACCAATGGTTGACCAATGGTAGACCAATGGTTCATCAACATTTTACCATTGGTTCAACGATGGTTGACCAACAGTTGGCCAGTGGTTCACCAATGGTTGACCTACAGTTGTCCAACAGTTGACCATGAGCCAGCAGTCACCCAGCTCATGGCCAGCAGTTGACCTGTGGTTCACCAATGGTTGACCAGTGGTTCTTCAACATTTGACCACTGGTTCACCAATGCTTGGCCAACAGTTGACCAATGGTTCACCAACGGTTGACCAACATTTGGCCAACAGTTGACACTAGTTCAACAGTTGTTGACCTACAGTTGGCCCACAGTTGACCAGTGGTTGATCAATGGTTCATCAACATTTGACCAACAATTGGCCAACAGTTGACTGTGATACAGCAACCACACAACTCTTGACCAGCGGTTGACCAATGGTTGGTCAGTGGTTGACCAACAGTTCAGCTATTGTTGACCAATGGTTGGCCAATGGTTGACCACTGGTTGACCAATGGTTGGCCAGTAGTTGACCAATGGTTGACCATCGGTTGACCACTGGTTGACCCACAGTTCGGCTATGGTTGACCAATGGTTGGCCAACAGTTCAGCTGTGGTTGACCAATGGTTGGCCAGTGGTTGACCAGTAGTTAACCAGTGGTTGACCAACGGTTGACCACTGGTTGGCCAACAGTTCTGCTATGGTTGACCACTGGTTGACCAATGGTTTACCAGTGGTTGGCCAACGGTTGTTGCCCAGTGGTTGACCAACAGTTCAGCTATGGTTGACAAATAGTTGGCCAGTAGTTGACCAATGGTTGACTACTGGTTGGCCAACAGTTCAGCTATGGTTGACCAATGGTTGACCATGGTTGAACAGTGGTTGGCAAATGGTTGACCACTGGTTGACCAATGGTTGGCCAGTGGCTGACCACTGGTTGACCAATGGTTCACCGTCAGTCGGCCATCACTCGGCCACCGGCTGAGCCAACACTGACCCGCACGGTGTGGCTGTGTGCACAGTTGGTGTCACCAGAGGAGTACCGGCGCTTCCTGGAGCGCAGTTTGGTGCTGGCCGAGCGCCGCACGCAGAACAGCTTCCACTGCAAGACGCCGGATTGCCGCGGCTGGTGCATCTACGAGGATTCGGTCAACGAGTTCCGCTGCCCCATCTGCCAGGCCCTCAACTGCCTCCTATGCAAAGTAACCAACCACTTCCCCCCCCCCCCCCCCCCCCCCCCCCCCCCCCCCCCCCCCCCAAGTGCTGTAGGGCTGAGCGGAGCCGCATTTCCCACCCCCCCACCCCCCAGGCCATCCATGAGAGCCGGAACTGCCGGCAGTACCAGGACGACCTGCGGCTGCGGGCGCACAACGACGCGGCTGCACGACAGACCAACGATATGCTGCAGGTGGGGGCAGCACCATGGGGGGGGGGGCTTCTCATGGACACCCCCCCCCCTCCCCGTCACTCTAAGGGGGGATTCGGGGTGGGGGTCATCCCCATAGCCCCTCTCATGGATGCCCCTATCAATATAAGGGGGGGTTGGGGGAGTCAGCCCTTCTCGCAGCCCCCCCCCCCCATCACTACAAGGGAGAATTTGGTGTGGGGGGGACACGGGGTCATTCCCTCAGCCTTTCGCTTTGCCCCCCCTGTCAGTACAAGGGGGTGTTGGGGGGGGGGGAGTCACCCCCTCAGCCCTTCTCTTTGCCCCCCATCGCTATAAGGAGGTTCTGGGGAGGGTCAACCCTTCTCATGGGTGCCCCCCACCCCCCATCACTACAAGGGGGTGTTTGGAGGGGGGGGGGGTCACCCCCTCATCCCCCCCATCACTACAACGAGGTGTTTGGTGGGGTGGGGGTCACCCTCTCAGCCCTTTTCTTTGCCTCCCCCATCACTATGAGTGGCGTTGGGGGGTTCAACCCCTCTCATGGACCCCCCCCATCACTACAAGGCGGTGCTTGGGGGGGGGGGGATGTCGCCCCCTCATCCCTTTTCTTTGCCCCTCCCATCACTACAAGGAGGGGTTTGGGGGGGGCTCACTGCTTCAGCCCCTCCTATGGACCCCCTCCCCATCACTGTAAGGAGGTGTTTGTGGGGGTCCCCCCCTCTCATGGATGCCTCCCCCATCACTACAAGGGGGTGTTTGGGGGGGGTCACCCCTCTTTGCCCCCCACAACCCTTCACAGAGGTCTGGGGGGGGGGGGATTCACACCCTCTCATGGACCCCTTCCCCAACGCTACAAGGGGCTGTTTTGGGGGGGGGGGGGGGGTCACCCCCTCAGCCCTTTTCTTTGCCTTCTCCATCACTATGAGAGGGGTTGGGGGTTTCAGCCCCTCTCATGGACCCCCCCCAGCACTACAAGGGGGTGTTTGGGGGGGGATGGGGGTTCACCCCCCCTCATCCCTTTTCTGTGCCCCCCCATGAGTATAAGGGGGGCTTGGGGGGGGTCAACCCCTCTCATGGACACCCCCCCATCACTACAACAGGGGGTTTGGGGGGAGGGGGTGCCCCCCCCCCCATCACTATAAGGGGGGTGGGGGGGGGGATGGGGGTTCACCCCCCCCTCATCCCTTTTCTGTCCTCCCCCATCACTATAAGGGGGGGCTTGAGGGGGTCAACCCCTCTCATGGACACCCCCCCCATTGCTACAACAGGTGGTTTGGGGGGAGCGGGGGGTCACCCCCTCATCCCTTTTCTGTGCCCCCCCTATCACTATAAGGGGGCTTGGGGGGTTCAGCCCCTCTCATGGACCCCCCCATCACTACAAGGAGGTATTTGGGGGGGGGGTCACCCCCTCATCCCTTTTCTGTGCCCCCCCATCACTATAAGGGGGGTTGGGGGTTTCAGCCCCTCTCATGGACCCCTCCCCAGCACTACAAGGGGTGGTTGGGGGGGGGAGGTGGGGGTTAATCCCCCCCCATCCCTTTCCTGTGCCCCCCCCCGTTTTGCAGACGCTGGTGCAGCTGGGCGAGGCCATGCAGTGCCCCACGTGCCGCATCGTGGTGCAGAAGAAGGACGGCTGCGATTGGATCCGCTGCACCGTGTGCCACACCGAGATCTGCTGGGTCACCAAAGGGCCGCGCTGGGGGCCGGGGGTGAGCGAGGGGAGGGGGCGGCTGGGACCCCCCCACCCATCACCCCCCACCCATCACCCCCCACCCACCCCCATACGGCCCGTAGCCTGGAGATGGGCTCCGAGTCCCACGGTTTGGAGGCTGCGCCCCATCTGGAGCTCTGAGCCCCACAGCCTGCGGGGCTGCGACCCACCTCAACCTCAGAGACCCCCAACCTATGGGGCTGCGACCCACCTCGACCTCAGAGACCCCCAACCTATGGGGCTGTGCCCCTCCTCAACCTCAGAGACCCCCAACCTACAGGGCTGTGCCCCTCCTCAACCTCAGAGACCCCCCCAATCTATGGGGCTGTGCCCCACCTCGACCCACTCCGAGCCCCCCAACCTATGGGGTCTGTGCCCCATTCCCAGCCTGGATCTTAGGGTCTGAGCCCCCAAATCCACGGGGTCTGTGCCCCATTCTCAGCCTGCAGTTGAGGATCTGAGCCCCCCAACCTATGGGGCTGTGCCCCATTCCCAGCCCGGATCTTAGGGTCTGAACCTCATATCTATGGGGCTGTGCCCCATTTTGACCCACTCTGAGCCCCCCAACCTATGGGTCTGTGCCCCATTCGCAGCCCGGATCTTAGGGTCCGACCCCCCCCCCCATCCTATGAGGTCTGTGCCCCACACGACCCCCTTTTCCCCCCTCCCCCCCCTTTTTTCCAGGGTCCCGGGGACACGAGCGGCGGCTGCCGCTGCAACGTGGACGGGCAGCGCTGCCACCCGCAGTGCCAGAACTGCCACTGAGCTCCACCGACACACGGATTTTGGGGGGGGAGATGGGGGGGGGGCGGGTTGGGGGTGTACAGCCCCCCGCCCAAAAGATACAGCAGCGGAACTCAGGGATGCGGGGCAGAGGGGGGCAGCGGGCGCCCCAATAAAGCTGTGTGTGTGTGCTGGGGGCTCAGCGCAAAGA